TTGAGTATTTTTCTATGTTATGTTCATGTTTATGTTCATAAACTTTTTATTTAATAAAATATGTTTTCATAGTTTGTGTTGTCCCTTATTATCAATGCAAAATGGTCACTAACTAAAGAGGATTTATGCTGATATTGCCCAAAAACCCTATTTTGTTCAGGCGTTTCCAAACTTTTGGAGGGCAGTGTACATAAGCATGTTAGCGCCCCCGCACAGTGCCAGTGCGTATTCGTTTATACGAGCGTACACATACAGCATGTAACACACACTCCATGTGAACACCACATCAACAATAACGCAATATTTACTATTATGGCATTCACGCATCTATGAGCCACTAGTGATCCCTCTTGGATTTTCCCTTCCTATTGTATTGTTTTTCTCTCTTTCTGGCTCTGACATCAAATCACAGGTTTATATTAACCTGAGAACAGGACCTAACCTGTTTCATGGAGAAACAAAACACTTCAGGACACGATGTTATAGGAAAATAATCACCTTTTGAGTGCTATTTTCTTCCGGATTCCTTTGTGCTCTGCTGTCAACTTGCGTTTTTAATTTGTTCAGTGTGTGCACATGCACACAAGCGTAATAATGTTTTTCTCTTTTTTTCCTCGTCTCTCTCCATTTGTTTTTAATTTTCGTTTAGTGTCTTTCCTTTTCAAATTTTTCTCTCCTTCACTTAGGAGTGGTTTTAATAGACCATTTAAATGTAAATGTACAACATTTTAGCGTAACTGTAACTGTATAAATTGCTAAGTGCAGGTTTAAATAAATAAATAAATAGATAGATAGATAGATAAATAAATAAATAAACAAGCAAACCTTTTCCAGGTGCTTTCGCACCTAGCTTGTTTGGGGCAATTTAGCTCTTTTTGACAGACATAAACACTCCTCCTCCTGTACTCGGGTACCGTTTCCATTTCACATCAGTGTTTTCACTGTAGCTTCACAACAGAGAAAGAAAGACCATGTTTATTTTCCACCACACTGATCTGAATCTCACTTCCTTGTTTTAAGTGCACAATATAAATAATATTATTGGATGTCATTTGAGCCTTTGTTCCTAGTTATTTTGCACCGAGAGGCGGAGTGACACAGCATCACTGGTCTGGTGTTATCACACCACAGACGTTCCTTCTGTAGCCATCACTAAAGAAATGTCTCCTGAAATCACATCGCACTTGCCAAAGCACACAAGAATTCAACTGGAGTCAAATTTCTGTTGTACATAATAAAATGACTCCATATCTGAGAAGCTTAAGATGTGTGAAAAAAAAGCACCATATGGCACGTACGACTTGCCAAGTAAAGAAGAACTACAAGTAATAAAGCTCAAAAATAGACTCTAGGGGAATGTGAGAGGTTTTATTTGGTCAGAAAAATGTGAGAGTGAACAGAGAAAAGGATCAGAGTCTGTGATAATCTGAGCAAACATACTGGCTTTGTGTCTGGGATGCGACAGACAGGAAGTCAGATATGTGTGTGTGTGTGTGTGTGTGTGTGTGTGTCCATTGTGTGAATTTAGAATAGCAGCTTAGAGAGAATGGATGGCTGGATAAAATGTTTATGAAGGGAAAATGAACTGTTTCCTCGAATGAATCCACCGCCGCTGCCTTTACGCCTTCGTTTATCTGCGAAAGTTCCCAGTCGGATTTTAGTGTAATCCCGCTGCCTGACTCCACCGCCCGACTTTTCATTAAATCACCCGCCGTATTTTAGCAGGCAAATGGGTTTGTTGTATAATGGAACCAGGCGGTGAATAAAACTGAAAAAATACTGAAAGAGAAAGGGAGTGTGTACGAGCGTATGAGTGTGTGTTAGAGTAATACACTGAGTCTTACAGGTTATTAGAGTGTAATAGAACCGAATTCAGCACCCTTTTCTTCTTATAATCAAGGTCCTGCTGAAGTCTCAGGAATATAACCTAATAATAAACAGATTTAAAACTCATTGTTATTTTTTTTTTTTTTTTTTAAGTTATTTAGAGCTGTAACTTTATGTTTTTGGACATCTTCAAGAGAAAGGTTTTCGGTTTCTTCGTAACACAACAAGCTGCGTTTATTTTTCGAGAAAGAAAAACATGGCTGGTGAAGGAACAGCTGCTTATAGTTGTGATAAGAATTCTATCGCAGACATTCTGCAACCTTAAATGTAGCCATAAACGGATAAATATGCAACGTGTCGTTCACATGTTAATATATAATTTTAAAAAATCATGATAATCTTCAGCAAATTGCTGTAGTATAAGAGGAATACAACACTTCGGGTTGTGATGATGTAGGAAAATAATAATAATAAAAAAAAAAAGTGACTCTGCATCATCCCACTACCTTGTCGTTGATTAGTTTCCTATAGCAACATGATATAGCGTGTTTTATTCATTACTTAACTGATTCATTTACCAAATTTACCTATTTATATCCTGGATTTTATTTAAAAAAAAACAGACACAGACGTTCTAAGCATGTCTAGCATAGTACTTTGCAGGCGATTTTGTTCTGTATTATCTGCTTTACAAAATCTTCAGGATGAAATTGTTGAAAGACACAAGCAGACAAATCATCATGGATAGTTCTGAGACTTTTAATGTATTTAAAACAACTCAGTACATTATACAGTAGGCTGGTAGCTGGACTGGTCCAATGTGATTACACTAAACAAGATGAAGTGGTTACTGGAGATGAAGAAATGAATGGTGCTTGGACCCCTAATTATAACAATAAGGGACTGAATATGCCTCCACCATGTTTAACACATGATGTGGTATACTTTGGATCATGAGCTGTTCCTTTCTTTCACCATTCTTTTCTCTTTCTTCTGGTACAAGTTAATCTTGGTTTCATCAGTCCAAAGAATCTTATTGCAGAACATCGGAGGCTTTTTAGATGTTTTCTGGCAAAGTCTAATCTGGCTTTCCTGTTCTTGAATGTTACCAGTGGTTTGCACCTTCTTGTAAACCCTCTGTATTTACATTCATGAAGGCGTCTCTTGATTGTAGATTTTGACAATGATACGTCTACCTTCTCCAGAGTATTCTTGACTTCTTTTGATGTTGTGAAGGGGCTTTTCTTCACCAAGGAAAGGATTCTGCGATCATCCACTTTAGTTGTTTTCCGTGGTCTTCCAGGCCTTTCGATGTTGTTGAGCACACCAGTGCTTGCTTTCTTTTTAAGAATATACCCAACTGTTGATTTGACCACACCTTAGGTTTTTTTTTATCTCTCTTATATATTTATGTTGTTTTTTCAGCCTAATGATGGCCTCCTTCACTTGCATTGAGATCTCCTTAGACTTCATATTGGTAGCTCCAGTCGAACAGCTGCCAAACGCCAACTCAATACCTGATATCAACTCCAGACCTTTTATCTGCTTCATTTGTCTTGAAGTAACGAGGGAATGGACCGCACCTGGTCAATTAACTTCTTGTCAGTCAATTATCCAAATACCTTTGAGCCCCTGAAAATGGAAGTACTTTGCTGAAAATGGCTGTAATTCCTAAATGCCATATTTCTGTGGAACCTCTTAAAATAAAGCTGAAAGTCTACACTTCGATCACATCTTGATTGTTTTATTTCAAATCCATTGTGGTGGTGTATAAAGGCAAAATCACAAAAACTCCGTCATTGTCCAAATACTTCCGGACCTGACTGTATATTGAAAGCAGTTCTATCCTCAAGCTTGTGGAAGAAATAAAGAGAACGAGGTCCAAGTGATAAGATGAAACAGATCAGAATAAAAATTCATTCATAATGAGCCAAAATGAATGATCTTGGTGATGTAACTAGTCTTCAGAGAGAAATCCTGTCTCTGTGAAATATATAAAAAACAAGAGTATTTTAAATGAATGTGTGTTTATGTTGCCATGAGACATTTGGCAGCAAAATGGTCCTTTGTGTCCTAAGCCAAAACAAACAGGATGTTAAAGCAGCCATGTTGTGACTGGTTTCAGTTTAAACACCATGGCTATAAACAGCGCTAATTGAATCTATCATTAGACTCCGTACACTTTGACACTCTCTGCCATCTTGATGTATTTTGTAATTAATATTTCCATATGCCTGAGTCGGACGTTTCGGCGCATCTCTCTCCTGCAGCATCTTTCACACCGACAAACCGAGTGAAAATGAACTCAAAACATTTACATGTGTGAGTCGGCCCCATTACACTGCCAATTCTTTCAAGCCAGAAAACACTGAATATTCATAGAGCGACTCAATGATAAGCTTCACGGGGCCACTGCACTCATCTCACACACACACACACACACGCTCAGCTACTCAGAACATGCTGAGTACTTTAAACTCATGATCAAAAGTGTGTAGATTTGATAATGAGTGAATCCTAATATGCATAATCATCACAAATAGAAGAAGAAACCTTTGTCATATACACATTACAGCACAGTGAAAGTCTTTATTTGCATATCCCAGCTTATTAGGAAGTTGGGGTCAGTTAGGATACAGCACCCCTGGAGCAGAAAGGATTAAGGGCCATGCTCAAGGGCCTAACAGCAGCAGCATAGCAGTGATAGGGCTTGAACCCCGAATCTTCGGGGCAGTAACCCAGAACGTTAACCACTGAGCCACCACTGCCCTAAACAACTAGCGTTTCAAAATAATCAACTTCTGAGTGGTAACAGTAACAACATTTCATCACACCACCTTATTGTTGATTATTTTCCTATAACAGCACGACACAAGTGTGTTTTATTTCTTACTTAAACAGCACTTTAAATATAAGACACTTTGAGCCAAAGTGGTTCTTTGGTTTATTGAGGCGCCCACAAAACATGGTTAAAGAAACCTAAGGGTGCTTTTACACCTATTAGTCTGGTTCCTGGGTCTGAATCAATGTGAAATCGCTTAGCCGCTTTTGGATCAGAGGTTTTGGTCCATGACCGAGTGTGATTGCTGTGTTCTCACCTGCACTGAGAGGAAAATACACCAGGATTCAGTTCAAAGGGACTAAAAAAATTTACAGTATACGTGAAAGCACACTTTAAATCTTTAGTTCTCTAGTTCTCTAGTTCCTGCATCCTTTTCGGTCCAGCAAGCAGTAAAAAGGAGATTTTAGGCGCTCGGGTTTTGAAGCATGAGTTCACAGGAAACGAGTGCTGCTCTGCAATCACACTCTGATTTCCCCTGTCAGAGTCTAATTGGCGTCAGCAGCAGGAGAGTTTTTCACATGCGGCTCTCCGTAATCACAGCACAGCTTCTTGGGGATGGTGAGAAAAATGCGGAAATTCCCAAAATGTTCTGCGCTCTTTTCCCCCCCATCGGTAGCTCCTTGGCATTTTTTTTCTATCTCTTATTTGAAATGTTTATTTGTCCTTGTGCTCACACATAAGCAAGTAAACAGAAGCATTATGGTGAGGGATGTAGGGATTAAAGCATGCTAACAGACGGGAAAGATCAAAAACACCAAAGGGGTGGATAAGCGGTGCGCTTCGACAGACGGGGCCACGACGCATCTCTGTTCACTTGCTCGGGCCTTCCCTCTCGTCTCGCCCCTCCCTTGTCCTCGCACCGCCTATCGATTTCTACTCAGGGAGGGATTCTGATAATCCTGTCTGCACTCTTCTAGTGTTTGAGATGGATATGTGCAATTTAGAGGCGCTGTGTTTACACCGCCACACTCCTCAAACAAACACGAGTCGACCGGGAATGCTAACACGCTCCAAGCATGAGCTACAGAGGATTAAAAGTTTGACTGCGAGTCTGGAATTTTGATTGCGGCTGATGAGCGCTACAGGTCGATCCAAGCACTGAAGGGTGTGTGTGGAAAAAGTTTTTAGAAAATACACTCTGAATGAACATTTGGAAAGAATAAAAAAAATGTAAAAAGACTCACCACAACATGCCAGTAGGTGGATTAGTGACTCTAAAATACACTCTAGGTGTGAATAAGTGTGTGAATGTGTGTGCATAGTGCCCTGAGACGGACTGGCGTCCTTTCCTGGTCATATTCCCGCCTCACACCCAGTGTTCCCAGGATGGGCATTGGATTGACCGCAACCCAGACCAGGATTAATGTTAAAAAATGAAAAACAACCGCTTATCCTTGTAAAAATTCCTTTTTTGCATCAGAAGAAGAGAGTGCATTTTATTTCTTTCAGACAGACACCTGCTCACTTAGCTCACTCTCTTCTGAAAAAGAAATTGAACGATATTTCAGTTTCAGGGTCGAATGACCTCCATAACTCCATCTTTCCTTTATTACCATCCATTAGCCGTTCCTCTACTTTCTGTGTACAATAAGAACACAGGCTATAATGCTTCAATTCTGTTTTAAATATCACGCGTACAATAAGGTGCTTCCTTCGAAATGTTATTTTAGTACGTCGCTGTTCTTTTCCTTTCCTTTTCTCTGTAATTGCTCTGCTGAGTGGGGACGCAGTGCAGTGGGTGCTATTTGTTTAATTTGCTCTTACTGTTCAAAATGGCATTAAAATGATAGTTCAGAGCATTACGGGGCCGAAGGGACCGCGTTGAAAATGTCAGAGCACTCATGCTGCTCGTCGTGGGTGTTGATTTTCAGCTGCTAAGAGTCGCAAAGTGGAATTACTGCAAAAGTGGTCACATGGAAATTCTACATATATTAAAAGAGGTTTAGCTTTTTTCTCGGTGTGTGCCATGTGTATAGTATTAAAGCTGTTGAAAATATTACATTACATGCATATACATTTAGTCATTTGGCTGATGCACTCTCACAGAGTGAAAGTGAAATAATATAAAGTGCTTGGAGACTAATGCTGCGTTGTACATGTTCTAGAGCAGCCAGGCTGGTAGCTAAAGTACCAAGGACTAATATACAGCCTTTAAGTGATACAGCAGATGTCAGATCATAGATATACAAAGAATGGGTAGGCGCATCATTCACGCCCCCTTCGCTGGGATTGACAGGCACAGAGATCACGCCTCCTTCACTGAGACTGGCAGGCACTAATGCCATGCCCCTTTTTACTGTGACTAACAGTCAGAGGTTACATATTTACTGGAATAACAAATGATAAATGAACAGTTAACATCACATTTACTGGGACTGACAGGTACTGAGGTCATGCTTCCTTTACTCAGATCTACAGGCACAGAGGCCACGCCCTCACTGCCGAGACTAACCGGCAATAAAGCCACACCCCTTTTATTGTAACTGACAGGCTCAGGCCATGTCTTATTCTATAGGACTGAGGGCAGGCCCCACCTCCTGCCCCAGAACTGAAGGGCACAAAGGCCACACCTCCTTCACTGGGAAAGACAGACACAGAGGCCACACCTCCTTCACTGGGACTCACAGGCACAGAGACCACACCTCCTTCACTGAGCCTGACAGGCATATAGACTATACCTTGTTCCCTGCAACTGACAGGCACAGAAGCCTCACCTCCTTTACTGAAACTCACAGACACAAAGGCCACACCTCTTTTACTGAGATTCACAGGCACATAGGCCACACCTCCTTCACGGATACTGAGAGGCCACGGCTTCTTCATTGGGACTGATAGACACAGAGGCCACACCTCATTCCCTGCCACTCAGAGCCAAAGAGACCATGCCTCCTTTACTCAAACTAAAAGGCACAGCAGCCACACCTCCTTCACTGACACTGATTGATGCAAAGGCCACGCCTCTTTTCACTGAAGCTGACAGGTAAATAGGCCACGCCTCCTTAACTGGCACTGACATGCACATAGGCCACGCCTCCTTCAGTGGGACTGCTAAAAATATGAGTGGTGTCAATTACTGGGAGTGACAGACACATAGGTCACGCTCATTTCACTGGGACTGAGGCACAAAGGCCATGTCTCCAACCAATACTAACCTAATAATAAATGCTAGGAGCTAGGCATGAGGTATTGGACTTTACCAAAATATGTTTTAGCCTGCCGATGCAGTCCTATCTCCTAAAGTCCTTTCTTCTACTTCCTTTCATCCTTAAGACGATTGTGTTTGACCTTTTCTCTTAGATGCAGCAGGTACCGAGCTCACATTCCCTCCCAGCAACAGTACAACCGTGTTTGTGTAAAAGCAGCTTCCCGCCATTTCTGTCAAACCTCAGACTGTGCGCTTTTGTCCCTCTTTGTCTCTCTCAGATGGGCGTCTCTTGGTGGGACGCTTGGGCCGTTTGTCCTTGCTCCGTGTGAATTGATTACACACCGCTGTGTTTGACTTTGACAAATACGACCAGCGGGAGGAACTCTTCTCTAGCGGCAAGGTGTCTTCTCTTCTCCTCCCATCTGCTGTCTAAAACACTTGATCTTTCTGTCTTGGCCCATCAGTCAGGCCTCTTCCTTTTCCCTCCGTGTTGTAATGTAGCTCACGGTAGCCATGCGTGAAAAGCCTGTCTCTTGATGTGAAGCTCTTTGAGAGGTCCGCTACAGTTCTCTGTGCTGTCATGCGTCTGGTTTACAAAGATCCCTATCTCCAGATGGATGAAACTGACTTCTAGGAATTCAAGCTTTGTCACATACAACATGGTTGCACATCTGTAAATTCCCAAATCTAGCTGCTGTGTAAAGTCAATAATAAATGTTACACGCTTGATCTGTGAAAATAACCAGTCCAAACCCTGCCATCTCCAAGAGATCATAATTATCCTGACCTCTGGATGGTAACAGAGGCGTTTCTCTCCCCTGTGGAGCAGAACCAATCCAAATGTGTGTGTGGCAGTTTGTGCTTGCCTGCAAGTGTGTTCAGCACTTGTCGTACGATACACTCTTAAAAATAAAGGGAGCTAGTGAAATAAGTTTAAGTGTGTGTAATAGGACCGGAAATGACACTATGTCTATCTATATCTAGTCTAAACCAAAGTGGGCGTGGCCTAAATCTGAAAGGGATTTAAAAAAAAAAAAAAAAAGAAATATGTCAGCATTACCAGCATGGTATGTGAAGATTGGCTCGGACAGATCCTCAACCTCAGCAACATCACTCCGGTTCGTAAATCGGCTCAATTAGTGATGTAAACGAGATCATTTTTTTTAAACCTGCTTAAGCGGGTGTTATTTTTGTTTGCATTTGCCAGTGATATTTAAATGATTCGTTTTCCCAAAACAGAAACAACCTAGTAGCCTAATTTAAACCACTGCAATCCTGACCAGGCAGTTACGGTACTTCATGAATGAATGAACGCTGTATGCTTATGTTAATGAGCTTGTTATTTCTTTGTCCCATGAGCTCACAACCAAACGAAAGTAAAAGGCTTCCTCTTGCTTGATTTTTTTTTTTGTTGCGTCCCACAGGATCCCAGTCCCAGTGTACATCTCAACCAGATGCTCTGTGTACCTTTCTGGGAAGCTTTCTAAAGAAAAAAAAACGAGTAGTGCTCCCCTTATTCATAGCTGTATTTATATTTGTTTACAACACATTATCTCTATATTCTGAATAATAATGCATTCATATTCGGTTATGTCCCTAGTGTGTAGTCAAAAAATACTGTTGTTGAGTTTTCAGTAAAGTTGTGTTTAAATGTTTTCGTAGGCCAAACCAAGCAAAAAATTTCTTCCAGATTTACAAAAGTTTGCACGTCACAGCTCACAGCCCAAAAAACTCCATATAAGGTAAAGCTCACAGTGAGCTGAAAGTGTGACGTTCTCAGA